ACTCCATAGTCACCTTTGACTGGACTTAACCATCCAGGGGTCCTTCACCTTTTTTTATATAGGAGAAAAACTCTTTCCTGTCTACTTTGGCTACACCTTGCATAATATTGTAAGCCTCTATCATGTCCCCACTTCATTCCCCATTTTGTTTGAAACTAAGAAGCCTCAAATTTTGTGAACCTTCCTCATAGGAGAGTTGCACCATCTCCTTAATTCTTTCTGCACAAATGTGATCTCTATAATCTCCTGCTCTGCATACAGCAAGATGTAGATTGAGGGTCCCTTCCTTTTGATAAAAATGAGTGGATCTTGTTGCTTCATACAGCAAGTTGGGCATAACTACATATTCTGGACTGCTAATGTTTCTGCAAATCTTTGAAAAGAGTTTGCCTTTAAAAAAATAATAAAGCCAAATGAATGAATAAAACCTTTCATTGGCTCTGTTTACCAAAATGGATGGATCAGGATTTAGCTTTAACATAGTGGGCCTATGTGTTAGTGGGAGTGGTGATATGATTAGTTTTTGAAAAGGTGTGAAAGGGAAGGGAGAGGCAATAATCTTCCATTGCATAAAGACTGCCTCTGTTTCATTCATTTACTTTGGTACTCGTTTCTCTTTCCGTTGAAGCCGGTGGGCACTGGGCCATTGGCACCAGTGAAAGCAACGTGCACGACTTTTTCTCTTCACGCTGCAAAATTCCCAAAATTGTTTCTGTGCATATGGTTATATAACATGCTATTTTTATTTTCAAATTAGTTCTTGACATTTTTGAAATGATTTTTTTTCGAGTGGAACCTCGGGCTCTTTTGGCTCATCTGAGCCTCTCAAAGAATATTCACTTGTGATTCCAAAGGTATCCTTTCTGAGGCTACAGCGTTGCACACACTTATTGGGGAGGGCTAAAAGCAGCACTGGACTCTGTGGAGCTAAATTCCAAGCCAAGATGCATAGAATCACATTGTTAGAGTCACCTCTAAGAAAGCAAACTGCATAGACTAAAAGGTAACTTATAAAGAGTGCTGCTTTTGCAGGCAGTGGAGCGCAATTTTTCTTCTTCTGTTTTGCAGATGTTTGATGGGCAGCACCTCAAATCTGCTGATGCAGGCTTGAAGCACTGGAAACTGTAAACTTATTTTATGAAAACCGAACTGGAAAACCAAATGTCAGATTCAGTTTAAATAATCATTTCCCCAAAAGGAACTTTGCAGCTCAACCTTTCGACCCCCTGATTTGATTTCAGTAGACTATCCCTCTATGGGCCTTGCCAAATTAACCCACCACCATCTGTTAGTGCATTTTGTATTATGCAGATGTGCTGAGACCCTTCTAATAACAAAGCTGTTTGGGCTGATGTGTACTTAATATGTGCATGTTTCCTAAATTGCTCAATATGATTTAATAGGCTCGCTGAAGAGCCAAGCAATTCTAACTTAATTTTGTACCAGCGTTTATGGAAGCAATTTGCTGAAATTAATTCCTGTGTTTCTTCTCCATCTGCAAATAATGGAGAGACCTGTAGGAAAATTACACAGATAGTTCCATACCGTTGGATGTTAAATATTCTAATTTTTCTCCCCTCGTCTCAAATATATTTCAGAAGAAAATTCAAATAGAGGCTTGTGCCTATTGTATGTAGTGGCCTACCACCATACTCAGAAACCCCAGGTTTTCTGTTCAACAGAATGTTATTGGTTATACACACACACACACACACACACACAATTTATATAAATAAAGGTAATAATAATATTCTGTTCAAAAGAAATCCTGTTGAGGAAAAGGGTTTTAATTCCTTGCAAGGTGATTTCCTTATGTCAAGCCACCCAGAGTATTTTTGTTGTAGGGAGGCATATAAGTCCTGTTCATAAATAATACTTCCTTAACAAAGGTTCCGTCAACATGTCTATGTAGGGTGTAAAACAGATTGGGCAAAAAACTTGTCTCTTGAATGACTGCATTAGTAATTTCATGTTCAGGTTATTGCTCCTTGTTAAAGCTGCAGCCTAAGAACTTACAGCTGCAGCAGTCTTAGGAAAGGGCTTTTAAAGTCAATCTACTCCAGCATCCTGTTCTCACATTTACAAACCCACAAGCAGGACCCAAGCACAAGAGCACTCTCCACTCTTGTGGTTTCTAGCAACTGGTGTTCGGAATAAATTTTTTATATTGTTGTTGTTGTTTAGTCGTTTAGTCGTGTCCGACTCTTCGTGACCCCATGGACCAGAGCACGCCAGGCACTTCTGTCTTCCACTGCCTCCCACAGTTTGGTCAGACTCATGTTTGTAGCTTCGAGAACACTGTCCAGCAACTGGTGTTCGGAATAAATTTTTTATATTATGTATTTATTTAAAAAATTATACACTGCTTGATCATAAAATAAATAAACACCTGAAAGCTGAAATACTAAAACAGATGATTGCCTCCAGCTGTGGAGGCATAGCCATCATGGCCAGTAGCCACAGGTAGCCATATCTGCCATGAACCTGTGTCCCAGACCTGGACTGGCAAGCCATGGGAAATGTCTCACCAGCTTTATCTCCCAGTGCTGTGTGTGTGCTCTGTACTTGCATTTGTCATGTGTGGATTTGTGTGTGGTTGCTTGTGTAGTCTGTATTTGTGGTGAGTACTTCGGCCATGTCCACCACTGACATGTGTCCCTCTGAGGGGTGGCTTACTGTTAATGTGGTCAGTGGCTGGAGAAGTCTTAAAGCTTTCCTATGGCAGCTTAAGATCAGGAGCACCCATAGATATGCCAAAACACCATTCATGACATTACACTAGCATCAGTGGGATAAGGTAAAGGTAAAGGTACCCCTGCCCATACGGGCCAGTCTTGACAGACTCTGGGGTTGTGCGCCCATCTCACTCAAGAGGCCGGGGGCCAGCGCTGTCCGGAGACACTTCCGGGTCACGTGGCCAGCGTGACAAGCTGCATCTGGCGAGCCAGCGCAGCACACGGAACGCCGTTTACCTTCCCGCTAGTAAGCGGTCCCTATTTATCTACTTGCACCCGGGGGTGCTTTCGAACTGCTAGGTTGGCAGGCGCTGGGACCGAGCAGCGGGAGCGCACCCCACCGCGGGGATTCGAACCGCCGACCTTTCGATCGGCAAGCCCTAGGCGCTGAGGCTTTTACTCACAGCGCCACCCGCCTCCCTCAGCATCAGTGGGATACTTTGCTGGTAATGTTCTTCTAGACTTGCGAATAGAGACCTCAAGAACGGATAGGTTATTTGAAAATAAATGGTTAGTATGAACAGTGGATATTTAAGGATTGCCTTTCTACAGCTGGTGTACATTTCACTTTTATGTGAAGCTTGAAGTCCTTTATTCCATCTAGTGACGGTGTGTAAGTTGACATTGCAAGTGAAGTATGAGGGGGATTTGTCACTCTAATTGTGAAAGTTACACTGATTAGCCCAGTATCAGCACACTGTGATTTGACAACTTCCTCACAAGGTACAAGATAGGAAGCTGCAAAGCTTTAAATATGTAAGTTGCAAACCTTTAAATACATAAGCTAGACACAGTCTTTTATTTATTTATAAGATCATTCAGCCTTTGCTACAACATGCTAGGGTGGGCTATGACAATAAAATACAGTTATAAAAACGGGTAAAATCATTACAAACACATGAAACAGTTCCAAATGGAACAGAACAACATTACAGGAGGGCCTTCATCCAAGAAGGATGTGGCCTGAAGGTGAGAGTTTCTTCTTGAAAGGAAATTAAACCAGGATGTGTAAGAGATAAACGTGGCTTAGCTGAATGTGGAAAATCAGACCACATCACTGCTAATTAGGTCAGATGCTTATCAACTCTTTGTTGGTTATAGTTCAGCACATGGAAGAGAGAGAGAGAGAGAGAGAGTATTGCTTAAAAGATCTCTGTAAAGTCTTGAATGAAATACAAAATAAAAATGTGAATCTGTGAGCGCTTCATTTAACAGTGAAGGGAGAGTTCTGGGACTCTGTTTACAGGGCCAGGATTGAGGGGCTACTGTTGCCCCTTCCCCCAACTGCATTCCCAGGCCACATTCACACCATGCGTTTAAAGCAGTATGGTTGTGGTTTCCTCCAAAAAGAATTATGGGAGTTGTAGTTTGCTAAGGGTTCCAATAATTGTTAGGTGATTCCTGTTCATCTCACAGAGCTTCCCTTGATTGATTGTTGACGACTCTGAGAAGTATAGTAACGTACGAATGTGGCCTTAGATTTCCTGTGTTTTTAACATTGTGGCTAAAAGAAGCCAGCATAGCCCCCATGTTTTTGTGTGTGTCAGCAGCCTCCACATTGCTTCAGAACAATGCTCTCCCCATGCAGGCCTGCCTGGTGTCTTCTCCCTGATCTTTGGCTAATTAAACAATCTATGGACTTTTAAACTGTGTATTGGGGGTATTGCTTTTGTTTGTTATGTATTTTTGTGTATTTATATTGTAAACAGCACTGTGATCCTCGGATGAAGGACAGTATAGAAATAATGATGATAATAATAAGGAAAAAAATGGGACTGCTGTTATCCTTGACCTGAGACCTCAGCAGACTTAATTGACAGTGGACTTGAGGGTGCTGATTGCCGGAAGATGCTGGGTAGTAATGTGAGGACTGTCTGCTTGGGTTGTAAAACAACATTTAAAACAACAATAACAACCCGGTTCTATAAAAATAGGTCATCCTGTCTACCAAATGGTCCTTCCATGCTGCCCCTTATTCTGATCCATAAGATATGTATAATAATTATTCTTACAAACTTTCTTGCCTATGGATACAGTCTGGAGATGTCAGAGCGTGCACATTCCACTGCAATAATTGGATCATAAACACTTTATTTCATTCTTAATTTTTCTTGATTTCAGTGAATGTTAAGAAAATGTATTGTGGATTGTTTTTCCTATGTTTGAATTGCATCTTTTACATTTGAAAGAAAAGCTTAACTAGATGGCACCGAGGGGATTGTAGGTGCAAACCTTCCCTAATACAGACTATGCTTGTCATTATAGGTGTGGCTACAAAAGTACGGCTATCTTCCACCAACTGACCCCAGAATGTCAGTGTTGCGCACTGCAGAGACAATGAAATCTGCTATAGCTGCTATGCAGCAGTTCTATGGCATTAACATGACAGGAAAAGTGGACAGGAACACAATCGAGTAAGTAATTGTTACTGGACTGCTCTTGCTTCTTTAAACTCCTCAAAGTGCAATAAATTTTTGGTTTTGACCAGCTAAGATATCTCTGCAAATCTAAATGGTCACTCTGAATATAAGGTCCCCCCCCTTATAACATACGTTTGGTGAAAAAATGTAGGAACTCTATAGGATATAATTGAAGTTTCAGTAAGAGTCCATTTCACAAAAAGAGAGAAAAGGAAGATGAAATCAGACATGGGAAATCAATATTTATATAAACATTCAACAGAAATACTTTCACTTCACAATTTTTATGGTGGTGACAAAGCATTTGATAGGTTAGTGTGGGAAACATAAGGAGGAAGAAATTGGCTTTCATATGTGGCATAACTTTCAAAAGTAGATAGAAAATAGGCTTCTCTGTCATACATGCTGTCACCCCTTGCTTTGACACTGGAAAGTTTCTTAGAACGATAGTTTGGGAAACAGCCATCACTGAAAGCATATTTACAGTATAGGCGTGAAGCAAAAAAAGCATATGTTTAGAGAAACATTGTGAGGAAATGTATGTAGTCATGTGTCATCATTTATCTGGTACTTATGTAAACTGGAAACCTTGCACAGGCCAAAATGTCATAGGAAGGACAAAGTGAATGAATACCATTTGCTGGGAATCACAAGTGGAGAGAGTGCTACTGAACTTCCCAAATGCATGTAGTTCACCACTGTGAAAGCAGAATGTAAGACTATATGGGCCTTTGCCCATATCTAGCAAGGTTCTTTTTTATGTTATATTCTTAAATGAAAGGCAAGCTGCTACAATTGTCTCTCCCATTCTGTCCTCCATCCCTGTCCCCCCAGATTATTTATTTTCACTTGTTTCTTCCCCAGTCGTTTGTTGCCTTCCAAATTTTCAGGATTTAGTTTATATGTTCTTTGCACAGACCTCTGTATATCAATGGCACTTTATTTTAAAAATGCTAATAATTGGGTAGACACAGGATTTTAGGCTAAGACTGCAATTCTGTATACAAACACCCAGAAGCGATTTTGTTTGAATCCAGTGGGACATTCCCAAAAATATGTAAGGTTGGAGTCTGCAGCCAATTAGTGTCAATGGCAAAACTCACTTTATTTTTTGTGTGCAGCATCTTAATTTTTATTTTTAAAAGTTATTACACATCACCTTGTTGACATCAGATTAAGAGTTGAATCTGATCAAGTCATGATGTGAGGGGAACAACTTCTGCCTACATAATGGATCTTCCCTTCTCTTTCCTCCCCCCTAAACACTGCCAGACATCCCCAAAACTTCTCCAGAGAGTTGGTGGAACCCCAGATGTGAGGGCTTCACAGGGGGAGAGGAGGGAGCAGAAATCTGTTGAATGAGCAGAAGTCGTTCCACTTGCACAATGACTTTGTTAGCTATAATGCTAAGTACTTTCACCTGGCTATTAAATTGTAAGGAAAACCAATAGATTGTCTAGTTCCTTTTACCTTTGCATTTTTGTATAACAACATCCCTGGATGTGACCTTCTGCATTAATTTTCAGCCCAGATTTCAAAATGTTTTAAAATAAGGATGCTCAACAATTGAATCCAAGCCAGTATGGTGATTTGTGCATCTGTGTAGGGAATTTTAAGAAATCGACATGGTCATAAGACCACTTAATAGTGTAGCACCGTATTTCTTGTGGTCAATCTGTAAACTAGCTAGTGATCCTAGTTTCTCAAATCCAGAATGAAGTTTCCATATTTTTCCATATAAACTGTTTTGCTTCATTCAGTATCCCTGCTTCCAGGAGTTTGGTAGCAGCAACCACCACTGAGAAAACATACTTCTTTATCTTTTCCTTTTCCATTTATAACTTTTCTTACTGTCAGTTTGCAATAGGTGATTTTCCTTTGGTGAAATGCACAGCTTTCCCCAAACTGCCACTAATGTGGCATTTAAAAGTTTCAAGCAGTTGAAGATCAGTTCTCCTGTCAAAAAGCTCATTCATGTTAGCTTAACAGAGAACCCTGTCTCTAATCTCTCCCCTGTCTATTCAATCTGAAATATGTTACTGAAATCTAGAGCTCTTAGAAGGCATCCTGTAGTTTCTCAGTCTACGGCTAAGATGATGCCTGTTGCTGGATTCTCTAAATTCCTAAAGTTCAAGTATTTCTGACCCATTCACCTTCCCTTAGGGCACCCATGAGGCCTGCTCTTTATTGCTTTTCAGTGCAATAATGCATGAGCGAGTGGAATGAAATGATTTTTCCAATCCGAGATTGGCATCAGCAGTTTCAGTAGTGTGTTTTCTGAACTGCTAAGTGAGTTGGAGGCGGAGAAGAAAATTCCATCAGCTAAAACCACCAAAAAGAATTACAAAGGAGAATTCATCCTGCTAGCAGGAAACGGGTGTGAACGTACTTCTCCAGTCCTTTTGCACGGCTATTGGAATACGACATGGAGCTATTTTAGCTCTGCTTTAGAACCTTTAAAGGCAAGTGAGCTAGGTTATTATCTCCCCCCAAACATAACAAGCCAAGTTTAACTGGTGGGCAAAACTAGGTGGTAGAGTGGTGCCACACCAACCTCAAGTTTCCCCCTCTACCCCCTGGTAAGCAGCAGCAACAATGGGAGGTCATGCCACCTACTACTGGGACAGCATTTTTTCCAGTAGGGGCATAGAACTTCTGAATGGAGAGGAAGCCTGCAGTTCCTTTCATCTCACTTGCCATGATAACCAGGGCAATCAAAACTGTGAATCCCTGCTTACAGCGATAAATTCGATATCTATCTATCTCTATCATCTATCTATCTATCTATCTATCTATCTATCTATCTAGCTATCATCTATCTATCATCTATATCTATCATTTGGTGATGATAGCATCAGATGACTACAGCAGGTTGACTAATTTTGCTCTACTACCTTTCATGGTATCTTTGAGTATTCAGTAGTTCTCAGATGTTTGCTTTTCCAAGTGCTTATTTTTGCACCTAAAATCCCCTTTAAAAATCAAGTTGTTTTCAATTAGGATAGCCAATATAAGTTTTTTGAGAGGTAATCTTCTAGTTAGCAGAATCTTCTTGATCAGGCTTAGTGCAACTTGCGATGATCATCTTAAATACTTCCTGAGCTGAGCTGCAAGCCAATTAAAAGAGCTTAAAGGAAAACTAAATCTACTAATAAACTCTTGGGAATAGATGTGCATTAGATTTATCCCTTAGTCTTATAGGTTTTAGTTTTATTTTCACCATAATCCAAAGGCTTGGTGATAGGAGTTTCTTCTGAAACCTTTTAATGGACAGACCCACAACATGTATTATTGGAATTGCTTCAAAGCTACTTTTGTAATATCACCTGCTAGCTTTTAATTTAGACCAGGATAGAAGAAGCAAGGGCCCTGGAGAAAGGATGGCAATTAACTAAGGCAATTAGCCCATCCAAACTTTTATAAAGTGATATAGGTTGAGTTCCTTGGCCCCCACTTATGTAATCATAGCATTGTAGAGTTGGGACTCCAACCCACTGCAATGCAGGAATCATAGCTAAAGTTCCCTGACATATAGTCATCCAACCTCTGCTTTAAAACCTCCAAAAAAGGAGAGTTCACCACCTTCTGAGGGCACCCGTTCTGCTCTCAAACAATATAATTTCATACAAATCACATTGTTCAGTTGTCTCCAGTTTCTCATATTGTGATGGAACGTATGGAAACCTAACTTTTCATAGCAAGCTGGAAAAGAGAAGTGATAACATTTTGCAACCATCTGGTATGCATTTTCATCAAGACAATGTTAATTTTAAAAATGTGTGCCTCAATTAGGAACATGCTCATATGAGCAGTGTGCCTTGGTTATAGGGCTGCTGAAGTCTATATTTATCAAGCATCACCTAACTTCTCATGGTATTTTTCTGATGAAATACAATGGGTGATATCCAATTGTGGCAGCCCACATGTAATACTGTACAGCCATTCCACTAGGGTCTATCAGCAGTATTGTAGCACAACAGCCAAATCCAATGTTTGTCTTGCACTTGCAAAAGATACTATGAAACCCCTAGTGCAACTGGCGTTGTTATTGTTATACCTGTGGTGACATTTAAGCTTGAGTGCTACTACTTGTGCAACAATGTCAGCTCTCAAAATACTTGTACAATGTCACCTCTCAGAGTTCTTGTATTAACATCACATCGGATCCAATTTTTCTGCAAAACTGTATTTCTGAAAGCCTGCTGGAAGGCATCCATTAGGATTCTTGACAAGCTGGACATGATGTTTCCATGCCCCCTGTAGGAGAGGCAGGTTTAGTGCAGTGAAAGCTTGCTGTAACAAACTGAATTGTTACAGACTTAATTGGAGTTTCTGTTTATGGTGCCCTCAGCCTAGGGATGATATTGTTGTCTGAAATCTGCCTGGTATCTGCCTGACTTTATATAACTAGAAGTCTGTCTCCCTCTTATTCAGAAGCAGATTAAAGTATGGTAAAATCAAGGGGAAATTCCAGTCTTACTAAACTGGGAAATGATATAGATTGGAAAAGCCAGAGGAACATATGTGGAAGTAAAATATTATTTTAATTAGCTTTATGTTGTGCAAGAAAAATGCCAGGTTATCTCTTTAAATTTTCTTATTTTCTTTATTCCTATTTCTTCAGCTCAATGCTTTTGATTTCCTTCTATAATGGTTTCATAAAGTCTTCCCTTTGAAAGAGGAACATTTGGAAAATCAGAATTAGCTTTGTTTCTTTGGAAGACTGTCTGCTCTATTTCAATATAACACACAAGGAAGAATGCTTTGAACTGAAGATTTAGCATGCAGCCTCAAACAGCTCTGCTTCTATTTGTGCAAACAGCACATACTAGTTTGTGATATTTGGCTGTTGTAGCATTTGTTATGCTTCAGTCCTCCTAAGCATTTTTTTCCTGCTGATGTAGTTTTAAGTTCTGACAGAGTGTGCAGGAGGGAGAGGACTTGCAAAGCACAATGTGTCTTGGATACACCTGAAAGTATCTATTTTAGATGTTTTGCATCTAGATAATCCCAAATAGAATTAAGGATAGTCTAGAATTATTATCTATCTTTGTGATCTTCAAAGTTCACCAGATCAAAAGATACTAGTTTATAATGAACATTGGAGATTATGGCCTTTCACCTTTAAAATTGGTAGGGCAGCATGGAAACTATCAAGGAAGAACTGCCAGGTAGGTCAGTATTAATGGGAAAAGTCGCCCAGGGATTGAACCTGGAACTTGCCTGCAAGCAGGTGTTCTACCATAACCATTCCCTTCATGTATTCCTAAATATTTCCCATGAGTCTATCGCAAACATTAAAAAAACTTTTTTATTCTGGAAAGGTTATCACACAATTTAACATGGACCAGAAAACACAACTATCTCACAGCCCAAGTGGCCGTGACTTGTTTCCTTTTTGAAAAGTGATGTTGGAAATCATCTACAATTCTATTCACTGTGGAGGAGCATTTGATAGAGAATGGAGCAACTCTATATTGGATGTCATGGAAGTTGCTTTTATGTGAGAAACTGAGTAAACCCTATGTGTAACTTGTCATGTGTGATTATGTGCATTCAGTTGGCAATTATCATCAGTTCTTGATTTCACTTACAAAGTGGAGGAGTTGACATGGGATTGTGATTATAGTAATGATGCTTTAAAAAATGAGAAATACTGCTCAAAAGTATATGCAAGAAAGAAATCCACAAGTGTAGCAGCAACAAACAGTGGGAAGTATGCAGTTCACTGAAATGTATATGTTACTAACAGGTGTAAATGTGTTCTTGGGATAAAGATAGGGTTTGTGAAATTCATTTACATTAAATAAGGACAGTCCTAGACAGAATGTGTCTAGGTTACAGAAGTCAGCAAGCAGTATATTTCTTTGCCATAGCTGTGCTTCGACATACATCATACATTGAGTCATACCTCTGGTTTAAAGCTAATGATAGTGAAGTATTTGTTACAGTGACTTGGACGATTCTTTTGACCACTGCAACGGAAAGCGAAGCAAATGCATACAAAGGCTATAGGACATCATAATTCTTTACTCTGAAGGGTAATTGAATTTGGGTTAAAATGTTCTGTGGATTATAAATAGTTCTAGTGAGATGAAAGGATATGGAATGAAACTTGAATATTGATTGCCTACCAGTGGATTCTGTCTTCTGTGCTAAATCCCTCCCTTGAGCACAAAGCCCTTTACGACGGGAAGAATATTCTCTGCAAAAAATGCCATCAAATGCTTGACAAAGCCTGAGAGCTCTTCCCAGCCATGGCTTTGAAGCTTAGGGTTGAAAATGGGCCATTTGGATTATTTACAGCCCTTGTCTGTCTCTGTAATATCTAAGGGAGCAAACATTATTGGTTTCAACACACATTGCCACTGATTTGGCTCACAGAGGGCTTGTCCGGATAGCAGCTTCCTCCGTCCCCACTCTTGGGCACGGCAACATACAACCTAGTTCACAGGAAGTATGCTGGAGAAAAGTAGATTCCCTTTTTATGAATCAACCCTGTAGTGCATATAGGAAGTTAAAGTCACAGATAGAAACATCTTGTGCCTGTCATTTTGGCCATGAAGATGGGAAGAAACAGAGATGGAGAGTGGGTCAGGGGATCATGGCAATTAAGCCCTTTCTTGCCTTTAATGCAGTCAGGAGTTGGTAGGAGATTTAACAGCAGTTAAGTTAAACCCTACGGGTGGCGCTGTGGTCTAAACCACTAAGCCTAGGGCTTGCTGATTGGAAGGTCGGTGGTTCAAATCCCTGTGATGGGGTGAGCTCCCATTGTTCGGTCCCAGCTCCTGCCAACCTAGCAGTTTGAAAGCACGTCAAAGTGCAAGTAGATAAATAGGTACTGCTCCGGCGGGAAGGTAAACGGCGTTTCCATGCGCTGCTCTGGTTTCGCCAGAAGCGGCTTAGTCATGCTGGCTACATGACCTGGAAAAACTGTCTGCGGACAAATGCCAGCTCCCCCGGCCAGTAAAGCGAGATAATAATAATAATAATAATTTATTATTTATACCCCGCCCATCTGGCTGGGCCTCCCCAGCCACTCTGGGCGGCTTCCATAAAAACCAAAAATACAATAAAATATCACATGTTAAAAACTTCCCTGAACAGGGCTGCCTTAAGATGTCTCTTGAATGTCAGGTAGTTATTTATCACTTTGACATCTGCTGGAAGGGCGTTCCACAGGGTGGGCGCCACTACCGAGAAGGCCCTCTGCCTGGTTCCCTGTAGCTTTGCTTCTCGCAATGAGGGAACCGCCAGAAGGCCCTCGGCGCTGGACCTCAGCGTCCGGGCAGAATGATGGGGTGGAGACGCTCCTTCATACTGAGATGAGCGCTGCAACCCGGAAGTCGTTTGCAACTGAACTTAACTGTCAGGGGTCCGTTACCTTTACCTTTTAAAGTTAAACCCTAGTTAGTCTTAACCATAGTTTACTGTTATTGGCTGGACTGTAGCACTCAGCCACAGCTAAGATGAGAGGGAAAATAAGTTACAAAATGTTTATCCATCCTGAAATACTGAAATACATTTTCCAAGGTCATTTTCACACATGAGGCTTAAATTGGTGCTCGCATATCCTGTACATTTAAATGCAAATGCATTAAACATTTAATTCAACCCAGATTTGGACTTATTTTAATTACCATCTGCCTGTTGATTGGCTTGTTTTAATGCTTTCTGGTTTAAATAATTTAATGAGTTTAATGTAGTAAATTGTATTTGGGCCTAAAGGTGGTGTATAAATGCTTTTTATAAATAAATATACTCTAGATAGGGGATGTAGCTACAGTCCTGTGGCCTAATCTCAATCTCCTTAAATGTAATGGACATTTACATGCTGTACATCTGCAGTGAGTGTAAACAATGGGTGATCTCCGATTCAGATGACTTGAAAAATAACCTTTTTTTAGAAAACAACAACCTTTTTCTCAAATAATTCTGTACTGTGTTCCAGATTTTATTTCTATGTGTAATAAATGTATGTGCAGTATTTCTAACATAGGATAATAGTTCTTGTTTTTGCTTTATCCCTTGCCTCTTTCGTTTGATGTAGTGATATCACCTTAAGGTGAGACCATCTGTCTTTTGTTATTTGCTTACTGCAATGTGTATGAGTGCTGCTTATTGGTGTAATAGCTGTATAGAATCAATGCATGAGAACCGCATGTTGCCCTTACATTTGTTCAGGCTAAAACCATCTGAAAGTTTATGGATGTCTATGTTTATTTTGAAAGATAAATCACACCCTTTTATTATTACAAATTATAGTGCATACAATCTATAAAACACACATAATATAATCTTATTTTAAATACAAATTAGTACATACATACACTCTTCAGAAGACCCCTTATTCTATCAGTCACAGCCGCTGATCAAAATAATATATCATAATGGTCTTTTTTAGCTATCTGAAAAAGAGACCTTTCTATGCAAGTGGAAGGAAATTCCTTAAGATTTTATAGCAGGGGTGGAGAACCTGTGGACCTTCTTGTGTTGTTCTACTCCGGCTCCCCTCTTCCCCAGTCAGCATGACCAATGATCAGGGATGATGGGAGTTGGAGTCCAGCAATTCACCAGGAGGGCCACAGGTTCCCCAGTCCTGTTTTATACAGATCCAATGCATCACCTAAGCTGTCTTTTCTTAAAGATCACAATATCTCGGCTGTACTTGATATGACCTGTCATTAACATTTTTAATCAAATCCATTTTGTAGTGCTGTGTCCTCCACACATGTTCAGAGTTCTCAAATTGTGCTTGCCTAGAATTAGTTATCAAAATATATGTGGAAATTTACATTGGTGGACTTAAAAGGTAGGTTCAGTCCAGATGATTTCAGTTCACTACAATTCACTCCCTTTTGGGGCAAAAGGCCTGCAAGGTTCTGACAGTTGTGCTTGAACAGCATTGTGGAGATAGTTATCAAGCAACATTTTTCAAATGTTGGGTCTCTGGAGTTAGAAGCAGTTACACAACTGAGTAAATACCACAAGGCCGACTCTTGCACAACACAAGTATGTGTGTGGCGGGGGATAGCAGAAGCCAATTGCTAAAGTTGTCCCCCTTTTACTTATCCAAGGCATAAGTCCTTGGTTCAGAGGTTGCAGGTCTTGTTCAGATTCAACACGAGTCTCTGTCTAGATAGCTGGTGGTGAGCCTCACCGTATGTCTATGCACTTTACAGGGTCAACTCTGTGATGTCTTTATTCTGAATTTATCAGTGGGGCATTGTTGTTTCCCAGCCCAGCTAGATGAGCCTATCTGTGGGGTGGAGAAAGGACTTTTGCCTAAAAGGAGTTGGTTTCCCTTCAACCTCACTAGAAGACACCTGCATTTTTATGTTGGTACATTCCTTAAGCATGTAAGATATTGGCCATACAACAAGAGAAAAGAAATAAATGTTTGCTGTGTCAGAGAAGCAGCTCCATCCTTCATTTAAATATTTAGTAAATGTTTACTAAACCCACTCCATGAGATTTTCTGTTTGCGGAACTAACAATTAGAATGCACAACTAATAATATTTCTGAATTTAATTTGACTGAACCCCTGCATCGCTGTTACAGTAAATCTGCTAACTATTGTTTATTAAAGAAAGGATCTGTTTTCTTTAGCCCATGAATGGTTTCTTAGTAGCATTCATTTTAAATTGGAAGCCTCTTCTTATCAGAGTAAGCATACATGGTTTCCATTGTGAGGACTCCAAAAGACTTTTCTTTATCTCTCTTGCTAGTATTGAGCTCAAAGCGCCTGTTGGACAAGAGAAAAGATAGTTCCCTCTGTATTTTGGATACCTATTCAGAACTCAGTGACAGTTTCATGAAATGACAAGCTGCAATCCTGAGGGTTTGTTCACGTATACTGAAGGGCTTGTCCACACCAAAGAACTTTTATATGCCTGGATGGACTTAGGAGATGCTTTATTTGATAAGCAGTCTCTATGCTGTCTTACCCTTTTTGTGGCTTCCTGTATAGAATGCCAGACTACAGACTTTTTCGGGAGGAGTCTATGTGGGGCCGCAAAGCCCATACTGTGTCTAGTTGTGTCATTCTTTGTATTGTGGCCATTTTACACAAATTATCAAATGGGGGAATGCATCTCTCCTATTTTCAGAGCATATTTCATAGAATTAAAGAATTGGCAGGGAGAGTCCAGCAGCAGCACCCGAGGGAGACCATTCCACTGTCAAACATCTCTTACTGTCTGAAAGTTCTTCATGATGTTTACTCATAATCTCCTTTCTTGTAACCTGTATCCATTGGATTGGGTCCTAGCCTCCTGAGCAGGAGAAAACAAACTTTCTCCATTCTCCATATGACAGCTCTTTAGATGGCTATCATATTTAAGTGTAATCATTTGCATGTAAGATTGCCTTGTAAGCTAATAAGACTCCCTCTACCTAGTGTAGTGTAGGCTCAGTGAATGCTGAAGTATCCCTCCGACTAGTGGAGGGATTATATGGGGTATTGATAGTTGCTTGACATTTAAAATAACGGCAAGAACATCCTTTCCACCTGGTTCTCTTTCTTCTGCCTTAAAACAGGATCCTTTGTACCTCTACCACCCTTATATGATTACCCCACCTAATCTGGGCCAGGGTTTCCCAAACTTTGGTCTCCAGCTGTTTTTGGACTACAACTCCCATCATCCCTAGCTAGCAAGACCATTGGTCAGGGATGATGGGAATTGCAGTTAACCTCATTATGTTGTGCTACGAATGGTGGGGGTGGGGAGTGCCTGCCTACAGAGGCTTAACAATATCCTAGTGTTTCCTAGACCAATTTTTCTATATTGGATTGAGCTGAATGCACGTGGATCAAGAAAGGGAGCCTTTCTGTATGCCAAAAGGGCAACAACAATAAAAACCCTCAGACTGACTTGCTTGGCTGACTTCCAGAGAAAGTCTAATATTTATCTAATATTCATTAGCTTTTTCCTTGGAAGTCAAACACCTATTCTCCCTGCTCACTTTTGATCTATTTCAGTTTTGATCAACCCTGAATTGCTACTGCCATGCGCATTCTGCAGCATGGGAGCTACTTTATCGTTGCCTGATCCTTTGATGCAAGTGAAGGCTGAAGGTGAAGAATGTGGCAATGTGGGTGGAGGTGCTTATCTTTTGGTCTTTCCCACAGAGTTTGCACTCAATTAATGCAGGGGATTTTGCCGAGGAAGTTGTTGTGCCCTTGTTCCACCGAGAAACTGTATTTTGCTAATTAAGGCTGTTTGCTCTTAGTGGAAAGAAACTAATGAGAAGCTCAATTATGTCAGAGCCTGAGACCAAACAATCCCTCTGTGTTTTTGGGCTAGAGATGAAATGAAACGAAGCTTGTTCAGATTTTTAAAAAATGACATGAAAAAGAGAGAGACATCTAAACACAAAGGCCACAATCCTGCACCAACTTCAGCTAATTTCAGGCAAGGGAAATCAATTCTATGTCCTAATTCTGTATTGGATTGTATCCAAACTGTGAAATTACTTTTTGAATCAATTGCATTTTATTTGCCTGTAAATGCTCCTGTAGTTATTAGTGAACCTTGGAAAGTGAGAGCAGCTTCCTAGTGTTACATGGCAAAATACAAACAGCTCAGCTATTCACTGTTTCAGTGACTCAAAAGGAATGCAACATTAGGGCATTGTCATTTTGATTAGGTATAATTGTGAGTTTCTAATAATGGTGGTATTCAACTCAGCCTAATGGTGGTTATAGACCTTTATTATCTTAAAAGGTAAAGGGACCCTGACCATTAGATCCAGTCGCGGACCTAATAGTAATAGTAATGTGTTATTATCTTACACAGCAATTTTAGTTTTCAGAGTAAGGAACACAATATACTAGGAATGCTTATGAAATTCTCCTGTCTGAATCTGTCTCCAGTTATGGGGTTTCCAAATGACTTGATTGTCAAAGTTACCTGTCATGTGTCCTACCTTTTGATTTTTGTTCATTCCACTGCACATTTACTGTAATTTACATCATCCCCCCCCCCCGCATGTTGCCGATGCACATGAGTGCATTGACTCATGAGAACGCAGTGCAAAAAGGATTGTATCAAGAGCTCTGCTTATACTGTGCATATAATGTGCAGATTCAATCAATGCCCTGATATGCATGGGGTGGGGGGTTGGGGAGAGAGAGATAAGTGTAGCAAATGGTGCTTTTTCCATTTTAGAAATTCAGCAAGTTAAACCAGAGGGCAGGTAGATTTAAATGTCCAGCAAAGCCATCCTGTGGCACAATAAGCAAATGAGATAGGGGGCATTTACTCATTCCTCCAATGTGCATTACCGTATTTTTCGTCCCATAGGACGCTCCGTCCCATAGGACGCACCTAGTTTTTTTGGGGGGAAATAAAGGAATTTCCCCCCCTTCATTCCCCCCAAAAAAACCAGGTCGGGGAAACCAAACCAGGTCGGGGAACAGCGGTATGGCGGCGCTCCGCCTCCCCGCTGTCCCCCGAGCTTGTGGGGCTGGCACTGGGGAGAAGCATGCTTCTCCCCAGTGCCAGCCTCCAAACCAGGTCGGGGAACAGCGGGATGGCGGCGCTGTGCCTCCCCGCTGTCCCCCGAGCTTGTGGGGCTGGCCGATGTCTGCCCGAAGCATGGGGCGCTCTGCTTCAGCGCACCCCGCGCTCTGTGCAGCAGGCTGCTATCCGCAGCCTAGGGAGCCCTGCGGGAACTCCCGCAGGGCTCCCCAGGCTGCGGATATCTGCCCGGCGCGAGGGGTGCTCTGCTTCAGGGCGCCCTGCGCGTCGGGCGGCAGGCTGCTACCCGCAGCCTAGGGTGCCCTGCGGGAACTCCCGCAGGCCCCCTAGGCTTGCTGATAGCTTCCTGAAGCCTGGAGAGTGAGAGGGGTCGGTGCGCACCGACCCCTCTCACTCTCCAAGCTTCAGCAAAAGCCTGTATTCACCCCATAGGACGCACACAGATTTCCCCTTCATTTTTGGAGGGGGGAAGTGCGTCCTATGGGGCGAAAAATATGGTATATTTCTATAATATGGGTTAGAGAGAGAGAGCTGAAGCTCAGTGGTACAGTGCATGCTTTGCATGCTCAATCCCATGTTCAATCCTGGGCATCTTCAGGTAAGGCTGGAAAGGACCTGTCAGAAACCATGAGAGCTCCTGCCAGTCAGATCACACTAAACTAGACTGATTGGGGGTGGGGGGAGCCAGCTTCCATGGTTCCACAGCTTCCATTAATAGCAGGTTTTACATATAAATCATTCTTGCTGTTGCTCTCTGCTCTCTCAAGGAGCTGCCTTCTCCCTCCAGGCTTTTTTTTTTAAAATAAAAGAAACTGAAGGTAGCCATAATCAGAGCCCAGTTCACAAAGCACCATCCATTGTTGATTTCCTACTTAATTTGCACAGAGCTCCTGAATACGAAGGATCCATGCAAACCATGAACAGGTAGCAACCCCACCTACCCATCTGCTTGCTTGCCCCTTTCTGCCTCCCTGTATGGGTATTCTAATGGGATGTGTGATTTAGAAATGCCAGCCAGGAAATAGATGTGGAAGTGTGTGGTGGGTGGGAGTCGTATCTTGGAAGGGTGGAGAGAGAGTATAGCTGTTTATTAATGAAATGAGCTAGCGGTTGTCAGCTGCATTAAGAAGTTATTGCCACTGTGTGCCTCTGATCTCTTCCTTTGTCTCCTTATTTGTTTAAAGCTGGATGAAGAAGCCTCGTTGCGGTGTGCCTGATCAGACACGAGGCAACTCCAGATTTAATATTCGTCGAAAGCGATACGCATTAACAGGACAGAAGTGGCAACACAAACATATCACTTACAGGTAATGAAAGCAGAGCCGTGACCCTTTCCCTTGTAAGTGCTTTAGCATTGCAAATAAATAAATAAATGCAGCTCTATTACTGAGATATGATTTGTCAAAGACAATGATGTTGGTATGCAGCCTGAAAACATTGATTTGCATGTCTTGGGAGAAAATGCTCATGAGCTGCAGAAGCAATGAATGATTTTCTGGAGTCCAAATGGTCCGTGATTATATAACGTGTTCTTTTGAAGCTCTCATGATCAAATTAACCTCTTGCCTCCCTTTAAGCCTGTGAACATCTTTCAACAGCCTTGGCAACTTTGCTGGGGATATTGCTCAGGAAGAACAAAAGTGGGGTCTACTCATCTAAATATGCTCACCCCGTCATGGGGAGCGGGGAGTGCTTTCTGGATTTGGGGGCCTTCAGGTCTATGCCAAAGTGGAATTAGATTGATTAAAAACTGGCAAGTGGCTGATGAAGCATTTTCATGCCTTTATAGAAGTATTTGTGGGTGGGTGGGTGGGTGTAATTCTCTTAACACTTTTAGAGCATGCGTCATGGACTGGCTGGATGCAGAAGAATGGTGGGAGGCAGCAGCTGGTGGTCCTCTGGGGGTACCCCCAAGGGAAGAAGGCTCAGAGCCAGGGGATTGGTGGTGGGACGCTGGTCAGAGGGAGAAGAGGGAGCAGACTGGGAGGAGGAGGTGTTGGAAGCTGAAGAAGCAACAGGCTTTAGTGAGCAGGAAGAGGCTGTGGCAGAGAGCAGCCCAGAATCAGAGGCAGAAGCACATTTAAAGATGTCAACAAAGGGCCAGTGTAGCTAGGAGGCCTGTTGGATGTAGTGGCTCAAGGGATTGACTCTGTCTAAGCTTGCAGAATACTCACAGGCTCCACCTTTGTTCTACAGTGGAGGCTGGTCCATTAGGCAAAATATAGACTGTGACCTTTATATCTAGCCAGGGTAACTTATTTAAAGTTTGCTACGACCATCCATGTTTAAGGCTGGTGTGACAGAGGTAGATTTCAACCAAAGAATGGGTGAGCACTGTCACTGTTACAACTTCCAGAAATTTAGGGTACTTAGGTCTTTCATCACTATGAGAATGTGAATCCTTTGAACTTCTTTGCTCATCATTATTGATTGATTTTATTGATTTGTCTTGTACTCTTTTGAGTTCTAGTCTTCCTTGTTCTAGTCTGACGAGGAGTATAAATAATGGGACCCTATTGTGGGTGACGCTGTGGGTTAAACCACAGGGCCTAGGACTTGCCGATCAGAAGGTTGGCGGTTCGAATCCCCTCAATGGGGTGAGCTCCCGTTGCTCAGTCCCTGCTCCTGCCAACCTAGCAGTTTGAAAGCACGTCAAAGTGCAAGTAGATAAATAGATACCGCTCCGGCAGGAAGGTAAACGGCGTTTCCATGCGCTGCTCTGGTTCGCCAGAAGCGGCTTAGTCATGCTGGCCACATGACCCGGAAGCTGTACGCCGGCTCCCTCGGCCAGTAAAGCAAGATGAACGCCGCAACCCAGAGTCGGTCATGACTGGACCTAATGGTCAAGGATCCCTTTACCTATTCATGCTACAGTATTGCTCATTTTCTGTATATTTTCATTGGCATATTTAAAAAAAACCCTTACATTTTTAAGATGGGATATTATGAAGCTTGCTTGCAGAAGAGATACTCCTAGAATATCTTTGCCTGAAATGTTTGGATTTTCTTTGAACATGATTAGGAAGTGGTGTTTGGGGGTTTTTTTTGCTTGAGCAATACTCATTTGTATTTATATATTAAATTTCAAACATGCAAAGTCCTTCTTGTGCATTCTTCTGAGAAATCCTGTACAATCTTGTAACGTAGCTCAGTTAAGAAAAGAAGGGCACTGGAATAATGTTTTATGCTAATATCATAATGTGATGTTACTCATCCTAAGCTTCCAGAATAAATCAGGCTATAATCTTAAATAAGTTGTTTCCTCTCCTCCCTTATTTTAGCAGTCTCTCCCCCTTCCCTTTTAGGGACACTGATTCTGATGATTTAAATTCCCTGAGTGATTTACAGCCAAGTTAGGGTTTCTTCCCACTTCCCGCTTACCAACATTGGATTTCATTTCCCATTCTATTGCCAGTCACCTTGTTTTGAGACAAAGTGCTACAGAGCTCGCTGTTTGCTTTCGATGTCTGCATCTTGAGCTGCTACATATAGTCAGAAAAATTGGAAAACTCACTCACTAGCTATCCCTTTCCCCCCAGATAATGAATGAATGTGATTAACTGCACACCCTCTTGGACCATCTTTTGTTTCCACCTCAGTCCGTTGCCTATATTGTGTTTAGTTGTTTCTTCTCTGTGTCGTGTATTCCAGGCAGCAAGATTTCCCCCTCTATCTTGAGTTTACTTTGTACAAAATTGCTTTCTTAATGGGTGTGATCAATAATTCAAAGAACTATGTTGAGAATTCAGTAGCAGTTCTCAAAGTGTGAAGCAGGCTTCTCCTGTAAGGTGGGGTCTGTTAAGAAGATAAGGACCCTGCTGGGCAATGGCAAGGCTTCATTCAGTCGCAGGTCCTGTTTCCAGAGTGGCCAGTCAGAGCTTTCCAAGGAACTCATAAACAAGGCATGCAGGTGCCCTATTAACTGTTATTCAGAGGCATGTTGTCACTAAATGTGGAGGTTTAATTTAATTAGTTCATAATAAAATAACTATTGGATTGAGCACATGAGACCAATAGTGGATCCAACAGTCAAGGAGGCAGTTTCTGCCTGTGGTGCAGAGGGAAGAAGGCTGATGGGGCTCATCAACTTGAGAAGGAAAACTCTGATCCAAAACCTCCACTGCCTTGCAGGATATCTTAAGGAAAAGAAAAACCTAAGGAGTAAACCCTACACAAATCCAGAGTGAAGTCCCTAAGATGGTTGGATGGCATCTTGTATGCCTCCTTTTGGCAACTCCTGCAGCCAAGTTGGTGCCAAGCACATTGCTCTGCTTTTCTTTGGACCACGTCAGTAAGGCTGAGGGGAGGGGGTGAGGTCCAGCGCCAAAGGCCTTCTGGCGGTTCCCTCACTGCGAGAAGCGAAGTTACAGAGAACCAGGCAGAGGGCCTTCTTAGTAGTGGCGCCTGCCCTGTGGAACGCCCTCCCACCAGATGTCAAAGGAAAAAACAACTACCAGACTTTTAGAAGACATCTGAAGGCAGCCCTGTTGAGGGAAGCTTTTAATATCTGAAGGACTATGGTATTTTAATCTTTTGTTGGAGGCCACCCAGAGTGGCTGGGGAAACCCAACCAGATGGGCGGGGTATAAATAAGTTGTTGTTTTTATCTGGGTAGCCCAGGACCTCAATGCACATGGCCAAGGCTATTGCCCTGGGAAGGTCATTTGAGTGCTACTAATGCAGCAGTTTGACTTCACCCCTAGAGGTGACGAAGACTTTCAGCAAACAAACGTTAGGACCATAGGCACCTGCTGAATCTACCAGAAGAGCATCCTACAGGAGTTTTGTGTTGATATCAAATGAACCTCGAGATATAACTCGTTGACTCCTAAGCTAACTTAATTGAAATAACTTTCCAGAAGGAAAAATTCCCTTCCCTTAAAAACCTCTCCAGGTGGGTTTTTGTGGGTGGGGGATCTCTGCAGTGTGTGGTGGCACATGAGAGACAGCTAGGATGGGCTAATTGCCTCAGAGCAGGTAGAGGTCCACTCAGTCCCTCAGCAGTCCTCTGTGCCCCATCCCACATTATTCAGGAGGGCACAAGTGCTTGCTGGGGGGAGGTGCAGGCACTGTTGTAGAGAGGCAAGAATGGGAAACTTTTCCTTCTGTTATTTCAGTTAACTTACCTTTGGATTCAAGGCAAAGATGCTACCACCTTCTCCTTCTCCTCCTCCTCCTCCTCCTTCTTCTACCCCTTTTCTAATAATCATTTCCATTTTGGACTGACCACTGCACAGCCACCTGTTGGATCACAACTCCAGTCGATCTTTATGGTACAGTCATAACTAGTTCATAGTTTCCAGCCAACCTGTTCAAATATATCCTGTTGGAGCTCTTCACAGTCAGTGCCATCCTGAACAATTTGGTGTCAGTCACAAAACACGGTTACGTCTTTCTCTTGACGGGGAAGCCAGTTGGTCTGAATTGCAGAAAACTGATTTTTCTGTGGGCTTCTTGGAATAGATTGACTCTGTTAGCAGTGGTGGAATTCACCTTGGTAGCTTCTAAAGTTCAACCCAACTTTTTTCCTTCTCATTAGTATAATAAATAAGATTTTACTGCTTCTAGGAATGTTTTGGTTTGTTGTATTCACTAGTTTATTTTACTGTTTCTTCTCTGTTGTGACCCATAGTTGAAGCAGTAAAGGCTGATACATAAATTTATACTTATATAAACACACAAATATATGTGTGTGTAGTATGTGTGTTTGTGTTGATATTTTAATGTATATAAGAACAGCCTTCTGGCATCTTATTTGGTGTCTATACAAATTGTGTAACAGTGAAAGGGATCTGCCATGAAGGAAGTCTTCTCCATACCATTGAAAATACTGTAAAAAGGACCAAATGCTCAAAGTTGTTACCAAATTGAGAATAGTGCTTGTTGTCACAAGCTGCTGTTTTTTTTTGTTTTTTTTTTTGACAGATTAGATATATGACTGTGGATGTCTGGGAACAACTGCATTTTAGACGGAAAGGCAAAATTGACAGAAAGGGACTACTTAACAATTTACCTGTTTATTGAAAATGGCACAAAACTATGTATTTCTCCAATTCAGCCTTCCCTGCATCTGTCATCAACAAGGCAGGCTCATCTATCACACGGAATTGTGTATATGCTTAAAATTGTGCTCTTGTGTTATTACTATTAGAGTTCATGTATCAAAATGTCACATTTTTTTCTGTTTATGGCTGCAAAACGTCCTCTGCTCAAGGACAGAATTTATTTTTTTTGCCTGACGGCGAGGAATCTGATTCTAGAAGGGTCACCAAACTCCAAAGTCTTCTGGAAATCTTTGCTTTCAGAAGATGGGCATTGGTGGTTAACTGCTGCCCCACCATACTGATGATATTTACATAGTACAAGTGCTTTCCTCGTTAAGTATTAGGCCTGTATTTTACTGTTTGCTCTCAATGCTAAAACAGTACATGAAATCATGACCTTATTAAAGTCAATTGGGTTTTGCAACAGATCACTTTAGCAGAGTGGAGCTGAGATTGTATTTGTTGTGACTGATTCCAAGCTGTAATTCTGACCCCACTCAGGTGTTCCACTGAAGATTTGAAGGAAGATGTCAGGCCCACCCCCACTACCCAGTGTGGTGTAGTGGCTAAGAGCGCTAGTCTCGTAATCTGGTGAACCGGGTTCGCATCCCCGCTCCTCCACATGCAGCTGCTGGGTGACCTTGGGCTAGTCACACTTCTCTGAAGTCTCTCAGCTCCACTCACCTCACAGAGTGTTTGTTGTGGGGGAGGAAGGGAAAGAAAATCTTAGCCGCTTTGAAACTCCTTAGGGTTGTGATAAAGCGAGATATCAAATCCAAACTCTTCTTCTTCTTCTTCTTCTTCTTCTTCTTCTTCTTCTTCTTCTTCATCCACTATGTGGATGAAACTCAACTTTCTTCTTGCTTCAAACCTCCCATTTCTTCTGGAGATAGATTCTCCTTGCTGCCCTCCTTCAAAATTTTGTAGTGTACGCCAAAAATCCAGAGGCCAGTGCTAGAAGATAGAGATGCCTGTGTTCCTTTCTGCAGCAAGATGTTTAAATGAAATGAAATCATAAAACAAAACAAAACAAAAATGTTGTGGCCACTTTGGAGTCTGATCTGTTTGCTGTAATTCCTTTAAACCACAATCTCTACCGGCACTTCTTTTGTTCTTAACCAAGCACTCAGGATTAAACTACAATCCTTTGAGTAATATGGCACTCTCTGGAAATGTGTCAAATTTTTAAGAAGAGTCACATAAAATTGGCCATTGCATTTCCACCTGGAGCCTCCACTTCATTGCAAGACATTGAAAGGGCTCAATTTTTGGTATTTTTGAGGCTCAAGACTGGACCTGTTATTTCTTAATTCCTGTTTTTATCTGTTTCTGCTTTTTTATTATATAGTTTTATTGTTCTTACATTACTTTTGTATAATGATTAGGGGTGTGTGTGTGTATCAAGCAGTCTAGAAATGCTTACAAATAAATAAATTTGGGTCAAAATACAATTACTGTATTTTTTGCTCTATAAGACTCACTTTTTCCCTCCTAAAAAGTAAGAGGAAATGTGTGTGCATCTTATGGAGCGAATACAGGCTGCACAGCTATCACAGAAGCCAGAACTGCAAGAGGGATTGCTGCTTTCACTGCGCAGCGATCCCTCTTGCTGTTCTGGCTTCTGAGATTCAGAATATTTTTCTTCTTGTTTTCCTCCTCCAAAAATTAGGTGCGTCTTATAGAGCGAAAAATACGGTATATAAAAGAAATCACTTCTGATGGTGGCAATGTAGGAATAAAATGGTATGGACACTTTGGCTGCTTGTGACTGTGGTGTTGCTTATAACTGAATAGGAGCAGTGAGAAAGGGCCAAATAGCCAGCACTCACTCTCACCCAGCCTGCTTGTAGGCTAGAATACTTAACCCCTTGGCATTGTAGTTCTTAGCTAGGGCCAGCGGCAGCCATTCCTCAGTCAGCAGCAGCCAGCCTTGGAGGGCATCCAAAGTCTTTGGATAATCCAGACATCTGAATTACTGTTTGTTTGGATTACTGAGGAGGGCTGCGTTACTTCATCACTTGCAGACATACACAGCTCTCCCAACTTGATTTTGCTTCTGTGTACTGAATTTTATGTGCTTTCAGGGGTATCAACTCCCCACTTGCCATTTTATGTTCTAATAGCCTTAATTAATCCCTGATCTTTCCGTGACTATGAATGGGCTAGGTAAAACATAACAGGATTAATATTTTTATTTTTTTTAATGTAAATATGAGAGCTCTATATGCACTTTTTGGAGATATGCAGCGCCTTATAATCTGGCATGATTTATAATGTTGCATCAATGAATCATCCAAGATTTTACTCATGAAAATTTTCTGCTCTGACAAAGTATCACATTTGGAGGAAATTTATATAACTGTTACATAACAAGTTTGCGCTCTGGAATGTTTCCTTTTGAAATATTTTTAGAATATTCATTCTGAAGCCTTTGTTCCATATATATTTGTTACATACTTGGGGGGTGGGGAAAATGTTATTCTAAAAATATTAATTTGGGGGGAAAAAGAAAAGAAACCAAGGGAGCATGTTAGGGTGAAAGATATAGATGCCTTCTGTGTGACTCTCTGGCTGTGTTCCCATGTTAGCCCAGTGGCATGCGCATCCCAGGAACATCTCTCCTTCATGTTTGACTGAGTAATTTGAGATTTGTGGTCACACCCACTCACCCACCATGCAACAGGAAATACAATGTAATGTGATAGCTCCTCTCCATGCACTACGCAAGGCCAGATTAAGGTGGTTGGGGCCCCCTTTCTCCCAAAATGAAGCCCATGAAATAAAGGACCACAAAATAAGTTTGACTTGTGATAACTTGAAGACTAACAACAGCTCCTTCACACCTCCGGCATTCTTATAGCCTGGTGTCCAAACAACCCACTTGTCAATCACATCTCTGACTTCAGCCTTCGGCTAAAAAGATTGGAAGGCGGGAGCAAGTAGGCTGGCATATTTCATAGAAATTGCTTAGAAAATTACCTGCACATTTTCCTTGGAAGCATTCTTTCCTGAAGGGTCTAAAGATTTTCTTTCTTTCTTTCTTTCTTTCTTTCTTTCTTTCTTTCTTTCTTTCTTTCTTTCTCTCTCTCTCTCAAAAATCAGACTCTGGCCCCCTTCCTGTCATAGACCCTGTTGTAATTTCTCCAATTGGACTATTATATACCTTTTCCTGAGGGTTAGCATGGGTAGAAACTGCAGCATTGAGTTCTTCCTCTGTTTGGTTGTTTCTCTTACCAGTGGGGCATTGGGAGCAGTTCCACAGTCACAACTGGTGTTGACAGTTGTATTTTATTAGAGACAGTTGTATACTTAAGTTACCAAGAATTGAGTCAATAGCTTCACTGTCCTTAAAAAGTACCTGTTAATTATCATGCTTTGTGTAGTGCTTCTTGGGTGGGTGCCTAGCCTGTTATCCTGTTGTTAATTATAATCAATAATAAGATATAATTTGCATCTGTTTGATCAGAATGAAGTGCCATCATTTGACTAAATAATTGTAATTATTATCTAATATGAAAACAGACAGTTCTTGCCTGTCAAATAAGCTTTTCTGAGAGATGTTTACTTTTAACCAGTCGGGTAGGAGAGAAATTGAGCTGCTGCTGATCGGATAACTAAGATCTGACGTAACAGTCACTTACTAATAATGCTTGAGCACTGTGTAACGGAGTGACTAAGAGACTGAGCATGAGTAAGGAGGCCCCTGGTCCAAACTTTTGCCTCTGCCATGAACTCAAAAGATAGCCTTAGGCAAGCCTTATACACCCTCAATCAGCTCATCTGCAAAATTGGAGGTAATAATCCTGACTTAACCTTATGTATGGATACAGCTAATTAATGCATGTGAGTATATTTAACTAGGATATGTATGTGTAGTGCTTTGAACTATACTAATGTTAAGTGTTATTAATGCTGACTGTTTCCCCTTAAGACTGTTTTCCCTCCCCCAGTACGGACTGTGTCAAAACAATTCATTGCTTTTGAAGCAGAAGTGAGCAGTGTCACTAATAAGGACATTACCTTTGTTTGTTTGCAGCATAAAGAACGTCACTCCGAAAGTAGGAGATGCTGAAACCCGTAAAGCTATTCGCCGTGCCTTTGACGTGTGGCAGAATGTAACCCCTCTGACGTTTGAGGAAGTTCCTTACATTGAACTGGAGAATGGCAAGAGGGACGTGGATATTACAATCATTTTTGCATCAGGTTTTCATGGAGACAGCTCTCCCTTTGATGGGGAGGGAGGATTTTTGGCTCACGCTTACTTTCCCGGGCCAGGAATTGGGGGAGATACTCATTTTGACTCAGATGAGCCATGGACTTTGGGAAACCCTAATCATGATGGTAAGAACCCAGTTCTATTTAAACAGCCTCCATTTCTATCTCTAGTACATTATGTACATACAGAACCAAAGGTTGATTGCATACCTAAATGTGGCACCCAACAGCCACCAGGGCTGCATTTCAGTATCTGCAATGTGGCTGGCAATTGGATTTAACTTTGCAAAAGGAACGCCAGGAATCTCCTGTCGCACAATTTCCTATCTCACAGAGACGATGAGCTTGGCTTTATTTTGAACATACTGTATGCTATAAAATGTTATAAAGATTTATCTCCTGGTTAATGTTATGTCTGGGAATTATTATTTTTAAAGCTAATAGCATATATTGTAACTTTTGGTGCATGAACAGATACTAGGGCTGGGGGATATATTGATATAATGTCCAATGCTGATTTGAAGTCCATATCTTGATATCGGTTTCATAATTTTTGACCTGGCAATATATTGTGAATCATGGAGTGTGTGTGTGTGTGTGTGTGTGAGAGAGAGAGAGAGAGAGAGTGCTATGCAAAAATCACTGTGGGGAAAATCGTGAAGCCATCCAGTGCCTCTACATAGCTCCATCCTTATTTCAGACATCATGATATATCAGTATATCATGATGTTTAGCTGGTGATATATCACGATGCTGAAAACCAGATGCAACTTTTAAAAACTTTGTCAAACTTTATTGTCCGGATTTTCACTTTTTGAAAAATGACAACCATAGCATTTCCATCTGGGACACCCCATTCTACACATGGTGAAGGAATAGCACCTGATTTCATAGCTATCCAAACTCAATTACTCTCTGGCATTAACTGTATTAACTCTTGGTCTGCCAAATGTTTGCACAACCAAGAAGGGACCCCTGCCCATCTTCTTTACCCATTCTTGACATACAATGCTCTTTTATCCCCACCCCCGTGCCCCAGTATTTATAGGGATTTGCAGAGTCCTATATAGGGATTCAGTAGCTGGAATCTTGCCTGCTGCATCTATATGGACACCAAAAATAAATATCTAATTAGCTGTAGGAAATTGAGAAATACGTCCACTCACTATTTCACTATGTATAAATTCGGTTGGAGGTTTCAGGTGAGGTGAATCATACTGGTTCATAACAAAGCAAACACAGCTGTGTTTATTTGCTCCTTATTATAAATATATATTTTTTAATCTCCAAGGATTTTTCTGTATTCTTTTGCTACCATCAAAAGAGATAATCGGAAACTGGAACCACAAAATAATATAGGTTTGCACAGAATAACATATGACGATGGGGCTATTGGAAATTCACGCTGCAAGTATTGTTAAAAAAAATAAGAATACTTTGATTAAGATAGGTAATCAAATTAAAGCTGGTGGTTAATTAGATGATTTAGGCTGCAATTCTACAGTCACTTACCTGGTAACAAATCCCATTGAACCCAGTGGCTCTTACTTCTGAGTAGCCTCATTTTAGGATTGCACTGCACATTAAATGGATTTGCTTGCTGCATGATGTCTGGTTCAAACAATGTGGTTTTTAAGGCAGAATAGTTATCTGAGATGGTTAGGGAAAGCTTTGTGATGTCTGTAAAAGGAAGGAACTATATCCTGAACTCAAATTAAAACGTCCTTCAAGGAGAAAAGGCTAGAAGTGGTAATTAAGGCTTTATGAGCACACAAAATGTATCTTGAGGTTTAGTGATTGGTTTGGGGTAACTGCGGAGACTTTTTTTCTTTTCTTTTTCAGGGAATCCACCCTCCCCCCCCGACTCAGGCTTTTATTGAACAATGTTTGCATTTAAATATCCGTATCAAGGATTTAATCTAATACTACCTAGGATGAGTCCAGCATAGTAACACATCTAAATGGTGCAATTTTTTTTCAGCGTGGCAGGCTCAATAAGACAGCAGTTTATTGATCTTAACTATCACAGAAACCTATAGGATTCTCACTTATGTCAGATGAAATCCTATCCCCTTGACAGCAAAATGAACTCTGCCGCTCATGGTTTACTGTGTACTTAGAGCTTTAAATCTCACCTCTGCATCAGAGGAAGCATTTGGTAATCCAGGAACCTCAATAGCAAAGCAGCAGCAGAAGAAAATGCTATGGGATAGAATTTTAATTAAAGACCTAACCAGAGAAACACGCCAGATACCCACTGCAATGCATTTCCTTTGATCTGCTCACTAAAGATCAAATTTACAAATGGTTTTGGAATCGACTCTTTTTCGCTTTGTTGTGGGTTCTGCAGTGTAGGAGTTGGCGTTAAAGCCAAAGCATCTTGGATCAAAATTCTGGGTTTTCAAGCTGGTGCAAGGGGCATGGCTGATTACTGCAGCTGTGCAGAGGGAGGCACTGTTTACTGTATCTCTAGGCTTTTGAAGAGATACTGATGCAAGGAAAAGTTGCACTTTCAAGGGGGAGAAGCAAAAGCAAGATATTAGAGTGGCTGCAGCTGTGCTGCTTCATCTTGCCAAACCACTGTTACCACAGTTTAATAATATTGGGTTGTCTAGCAATAAGTCATGATACTAGGATATGTGAAATGTTTGTAGATGTAATTGCCAAATTCTAAACCTTTGTGATTGGTGGGGTATAGTTGCAGTGTCTGCAGCACTGAGGGTGGCATCGTCGTCGTGCTAGCTCAACATCACAAATTATCAGTACTCTCCTCTTTTGAAGTAGTTATTTCCTGGTGCAGCAGTTCTCAGCATCAGGCATAAATGGGTCATCATCACATCACTGAGTGTTGCCCCAATGTCCCTTTTATACGTGATGCCTGGAAGCATATTCAGAACGTGTTTCATAGACAAGAGGAAATAATCTACTCTGCAGGTTATCAAACAAGATGATGGTGACATATGTGTGTGTGTGGCCATTAGTGCAGAACACTATAATAATTCAATAACAAATTCAAATTGCTGGATATTAATCAATACAGTATATTATAGAGCTTTTGAATTGCATTCACACCAGCAGGAATTTGTGCAATCTGCTAAAGAAAATTTTACGAAGAGGAAATGTAAACTGGCACAGCACACCTATCAACTATCACTGCTTGTACTTCCCTCCCCTTGCCTCCCCTTCAACAATGTATATACCAACAATTTATATTCCAACTAACTAGTCCTGCTAGAAGAAGCCCATGCAAGACTTTTCCAAGTGCAACAGGGTCCTCCCCCCCCAAAAAAAGAAAAATGGCTCAGTGAGAGTGTTGAGAGAAACTCCTGAACGAAACACAGAGGAGGGAGGAAAGAGATATGCTTATGCCTTATGCTAAGGGAGTGATCTCCTTAGTGCTAAATTGAATTGCTCCCTTAGCTGTGTACAGTAAAGTTAAATCTGAATACTCACTTGAAATGCCTGCTGGAAAAGGTCATTATCAAGTACCAGAGGTTCAACAGGGAGAGGTTCTGTCTGATCTCAAATGGAAGGGAGTTTCGCAGAATTAGGCCCAAACATAGGAGCTGTACGCAGAGTTCTGTTAGCAAAACAGAGCTTTTCCCACCACCTCCTCCTAGCCTCTCCGGTCATACTCCAGTTTACTTCCATTGGGTACTAAATCAGTAATGGCCACTGTAACTTTTTAGTTATTAGTTAAATTTTTCACTAAAGAAATGTCACTGAAACTACATGGGGAGAAATCACAATTCAAGAGAATTAAGATTATACAAATTCTCAAAACAACTAATTTAAATAATTAAATAACTAAAACAATTAAAATGCAAATAATTAAAAATACATTTAACCTTTTGAGTTGAGGTATGAAAATCCCCAGGCAAGGTCCCTTTGTGAAGACACTATCTTAGACATCCAAAAGTCATAGTGGAGCAAAATATGTAACTAGATTAAAGGTATAATTTGGAGTTAGACTCCCCAGCCCCAGCTCCTGGCATAGATGGTGGTTTCTGTGAGTACAGTCCTTGTATGGTCTACTGTCATTTAAAATATCTTATAAAACAGCCAAGAACTTCAGTGACAGTTTGTTTAAAAATGAAATTGAACTTCAGAGCGTCAAGAGGATTAGCTGGTTGAGTGATTGTTCTTCGCATGTTCCTCTGTCCTACAAGAGGCTGGGAGAATGCAACAGCTTGATTATTTAGCAAAAATGCAAATCGCCAACCCCCTTGAAAAGTACCAGGCTCATTTTCCACACTATATTGCTCTGCTAATGAAGGCAATTTGAATTTTGTGTTTCTCAAAAGAGATGAACAACTTCTTGGAGTGCTCAGTAAAACCTTAATATATTGTTGCTGCTGCTTTCATAAATCTTGCTGGAGTTACTCCTGATCGGAAAGCATTTGTATTAATTCCCGAACAACAAGGGCGATAAAGTTTTGTGGGGAAAACAAAACACCATCCAAAAGAAACAACTTGAATATTGTATTGAGGTAGCACTTCCTTTTGCTTCTAGGTTACCCGGTATTTATATCTTTGGATGAGGGGCAGTGTAACAAACGAACCATCCAGCACCATTAAACTGTTTGAAGACATTTGCTAAAGCTCAGTTGTGGCTTCCAAAAGCTATTACAGAACATTCTTACAACACTTGCAAAAGAAAATGGAGTCAGCCTATGTCAGGGCTGTAAGCTGTGGAAGTTCTCAGATCATGGACCTTCTGAGAGTTTAAGGGGATCCTTGTTTGCTGAGCCCTCACTTCTCCTGGGAATTCAGGAGAGGTGGGACTCATCTTCCAAAATACGTACTATGTTACATGCATTCCTTGGCTTGGTGCCTTATGTGTCTGTTTGAAGCTTTACATGGCAACCACCCACATGCTTGGGACTGCAGTGTAAGTGATTTTTTAATTTAACCTTTTCTGTTTTGTGGCAACTTCCCTCTGGCTGCAAATGGCAGCTTTGAAGTTCCCAGTGGGGAATTCTATAGCAGAGCTGATCCCTGCAGGTTGCTGGGTGTCATCACAGACAACAAGGGTCCTGTACCAAGCTCCTCAAGGGTTCTGATCATTCCTTGGTAACTGTGTTTCCACCTGCTTCATCCCTGACATCAAGTATCATGTCAGGCAT